TTGCCACGTTCTGTAAGTATTTGTGTTAGCCGAAAATCGTGGGTTATAATTTTGCAGTTGTGTCTACTTTCTAATTTCGGGAAAAAGTTGTGCGTAATCTGTCCTTTATTATCTTCGTGCCAACGAGCTTGCCATGTCCTGATTGAACAATGCTGGAGATGTAAACGAGCGAATGCCACATTTAGATAAGCGGTTGTGGCAAGTAAATCGGCAAGCTCATTGCCACCACAACCTGAATAGCTTTTTATCCAAGAGATTTGTGTGTTGTGTTTGGTGTAATTTGCTTTGAAGAATAGGTAAGTGTTGTAGTACTGCTAATTTTAGGTGTGCTCAAGATTTTAATTGATACGTTCGAGTCTGTACATACGAGTGTGTGGTTATATTTATATTTTAGAATGTATCTTAGTGCGTGATTGATGGCTAATATTTCTGCCTGTGTTACTGTGCAGTGATTTTCTAGCTTAAATGTTGAACATTGGAGTACTTTATTATCCTCGATGTGACAGAAACCATCTCCCACACCATTTTTTGATTTGGAGCCGTCAGTATATATGATGGAGCGTTTGTTAGAAGCGTGTTTGACTACTGCGTGTGCATGTGTATATGACTGTCCCCGGTTGGCAAAGAACAGTTTCCTCGACGTCTCGACTACTCCGGGACGATGCGGTCGACTTCCGGTGATGGGAAGATGTCGATTCGAGGTCGGGAGACGGAGACGAAGATGGGCACGAGACACAAACACAACAACTGGTTAGACACTTGGAATTTTCGGGAGAAGAAGCCGTCGCGTCCTTGAATTTTCAAGGTTCTATTAATTTCCGTTCCCGATCGTCCATTCCGATTGGTGGCTTTTCCTCGTTCCCGCTTTCTAAGTGGTTGATCACTGTAACGAAATCTCGGCTTAGATCGCGGGAGAGATCAAAATCGAAGTTTAATTCGATCCCCAATCGCCGATGGTCGATGGACTTACATTCTTCTAATAGAGAGGTTGCGGCCGAAGTTTTCAACGCGAAAACGTGAACGTCGGACGTTCAGCGCTGCCTTCGTATAAACCTAGAAGTTTAACACTGGCGTTTGGAACGTCGAGCCAAAAGTTTTCTCGTTGAAAACTTCGGCCGCAACCTCTATTGTTTAAAGGTTCGCGTCACGTTTTCATAAAACTTTTTCTAACTTTTTTTCCTTCTTTAAAAGAAATTATTTTAATGCGCATTTCAGTGAGGGTTCGGACCTGTCCAGAACCTCACAGTAACATATATAAGTAAAAATTATAACTTTATTGAATAACACACGATATCGCGCAAAAATTTTTATTTGCTCGTGCGTAATTTTAATTGACAAGCAGCTAAATAAGCAAATTAAAGGAATAGTTTGATTCATATGAAACAAATAAGTTCATTAATTTGCATACTTAGAAGCACCAATATTTTAACAGAGACGGTCGGATGGCCATTAAGCTGACGGCTTACAACTGCGAAGGACCCGGAGTCGAATGTGAACGGTTCAAAAAATGTCAAAAAATTTCGAGATGATCCATCCGATTATATTGAGACACATCCGGCCACCCATTATGGGCCTGTTCGAACCCATATTGCTAAAAAGTGCCCTCTTGACGGCCGGTTGGCCGAGCGGTCAAGGTGGCAGCCTACCGCTCCGGGGGACCCGGGATCGAATTCGGACGGGTCAAGGAATCCCCAGGAATTTTTCGGGGGGTGGTCCGTTCGGATATGTCGGGCCCCGTTCCTTACCACCCGGTCGCCCCATTGTGAGCCTGGCCGAACCCATAATGGGCCTTCTATAAGAGGTCCTCTTAGTGCCCACCAGTGTTGCCACGCCGATTTGCTTGCCATCGGTAGATTCCTTAAGCAATTTTCGGTATATTCCGGTAGTTTTCGGTAGATCGACTTTTTGTGGCAGAAAGGAGGTTGCACATAAACAATGTTTTTTTCGTCATTTATTTTATTATAAACTATAAAACAATAAAAAACTAACACAGAACACTTAATTAGTAAATTATTATTTTTTTACGTAAGTAGGTACATTTTGTCTTATTTTTCTAACAAAATACAGTATTACATTTTATTTTTCGGAAATTAATAATAATTATTATTATTTAATATCTTCTGTTTGTATGTTTTTTAACATTCTGTTTGTTATTTTTGAAATTAAATTATCTTTTACAGGAAAATCATAACAGTAATTTTTTCCAATTAATTGTTTAGTAAGAAGTAAGCCAGTGATTGTTTCAGAGCTCTGTTTATTTCTTTGTTTCGTGTTTAACAGATTTATTTACGAAAATATTCTTTCTACATTAGCTGAAGAATGGGGCAGACACAAGATATTCTCAACAAAACGAGATAGAGTCTTTGCAATAAAGTCTCTTACAATATATAAGAAATGAAGGTACAAAAAAATGTTTTATTGAGAATTTTTAGATACACTGAAAATAAAAATTTCTTTCTTGAATTATCATTAACTTTTCGGTAGATTTGGTGCTTCAGTCGGTAGATCGGTCCCAAAATCGGTAGATCTACCGAAAATTCGGTAGACGTGGCAACATTGGTGCCCACTGGAAGGGAAGAGTAGAAAAAAAAAGTGCCCTCTTAGTGTACGCAAAGCGGAGAGAGTTAAAAAAGTATTTTAACGGAACATGTATATAATATTTCATTAACAATTAACAAAATTTTATTTATATATTTAATATATTAAAACAGTACAAAAATTCTAAATAATTTCAAATTTTTTTGGTTATAAAAAAAATGGTGAATACAACCTGGCAACACGATCATTTGAACAGGAGGAAAGCCTGGCTATTGGTAGCGATTCAAAGCATGGACGATAGTATATGTGTTTTGTTTTACTTCATAAATTATTTCCGCGAGATTCATTAAATAATATTAAATGGAGACGAGAGCCGGTTTCAGTAGAGGGCCGGAATATATTCCTTTAAATGAGACGACGAGGGAGCAGACAAACTTGAATTCGAATTTCGTTAGGTCCAAACGTAAACGAGAAGATTCCACGCCAAATGTTACAAATATTCCCTGGGTCGATCCCAGTAAAACTTACAGTCCAGTTCCCATTGTAGCGTAAGTATCGTAGCTCTTCCTTAATTGTGATTTGTGGAGTAAATACACGAGTGTGATTTGACAGCATCATACGTCATAGTTACAGCATGTCTGGCAAACTGGCACCTGTCTTGAGTGAAGCTTTATCACAGAAATATCCAATAGCTTTAGCGACGTATGTCAGAAGCAGTGGCGTGTTACGGCTTCTTGGGGCCCGGGAAAATTGAATTAGGAGTCCCGTGTACGGTGCTGACTTTGGAGATTTTTCTTTTGGGGAATCTTGTATTCTGGTTTCTTTTTTAATGGGACCGGTTAAGTACTTTGCCGTGCTGGCAATCTAGGTTCGTCGGATGTGGTGCCAAATTTAAATTTTGATATTCTTACTACGGCAATGAGTTTATAAAAGATTGGTTGGGACGGTTGCTCGTCGGTGAAGTCTGGTTTATATAACGGCCGAGATGAGCGTTAAGGAAAGGGTTGTCTACCGTTTTTAATTATTTAGGCAGCGAGTAGGTGAAATGTGACGAGTGGGGCGATTCGGGTCGGGGAAGGGTGCTTTTGCGTGTTTTTTTGTCGATGAGATTAGCATTTCCGCGTTTCCGTCCGAGCCGGCTTCGAGTGGCTCGATCGACTGTTTGTGGAGTACTCGATATTACACGGTTGGGAATGTAGGTGCTTGCCCCGTATGCTGAAGTGTGAGTAATGGTGAGCATCAATGTAGAGCGTGGAGAATAGGTGATAATACTAATTAACACAAAAAGCTATTTCCCATCTTGAACTACCTGGAACCGACAACGCTCGTCACATTTTGCCCAATTACACCCTAAGTAATTAAAAATATATTGGATTGTTTGGAAAGTAATTTTGTTTTTTTTACCACTAGACGGATTAGTCGTATTTTTTCCGCCATTTTCATTCTAATCCGTATTATCATTATATATTTTGACAGCTAGCATTTTAAGGCTTATTTGTAAAAAATTTTGTTTGATTTTGTGCAATTGTTTATTTTTTGTGTCCCATCAAACATGGAAGATCGAAAGCAGCATTTTTGGCATATTTTGCTCTTTTATTACTGAAAAGGTAAGAACACTGTTCGAGCGAGAAAAAATTGTGTGACGTGTATGGAGAAGATGTACTGACAGAATGACAGTGCCAAAACTGGTTTACAAAATTTTGTTCTGGCAATTTCAATATTGAAGATGCACCACGTTCTGGATGGCCAGTTGAAGCCAACGAAAACAAAATAAAGGTACCGATTGAAGCAAACTGCCGAATAACAACACGTGAAATCACTAAGAGATTAAATTTGTCAAATTGAACCGTTTATGATTACTTTGAAACAAATTGGTTTCGTTTCAAAGCTCGATATATGGGTTCCACATGTTCTTAAAGAGAGATGCTCTTTTTTGATGGGATTTTAAGGAAATTTTTTTTTTGGAGCTTTTACCAGACAATGTAATAATTGATTCAAAAGTGTACTGCCATCGAGTAAACGAATTGAGTAATATCATCAAACAGAAAAGGCCAGAATTGATCAACAAAATAGGTGTAGTGTTTTACCATAATAATGCCAAATTTCACACAAGTTTGGTAACTCGTCAGAAACTGTTATAACTTAGATGGGAAGTACTATTGCACCAACCATATTCGCCAGATCGACCACACTCAGATTATTACTTGTTCTGATCTATACAAATTTTTTTTAACTGTAAGATATTTACTTGAAATGACAATGTCAAAAAATCACTTGGATCAGTTTTTTGTAAGCAAGGATCAAAACTTTTATGAATGTGAAATCATGCTACTACCAGAAACGATGACAACAGGTATTTGATCAAAATGGTCGATACATAATTCAATAAAATATTTATTTATTATAAAAATATCGTGTTTTTTTTTCCACGGAAAAAAATGAAATTACTTTCCAAACAACCCAATAGTATGTGTCCTTTTTTTAACTTGTACCGTGGCAGATTTGTACATACAGTTTTTACTGTCTGCTTGTGGATACTAAGATAGCCTTTATACTATATCCCTTGTGGGGTTGTTTGGTTAGATCCATGAAGGGTGTTGTTGGCTGGTGAAGGATGGGTCCAAATATCTGGGATGGATTGCTTGTGAAAAGTGTATTGCTTCTGTAGACTCGATCCTGGTCCCCATAGTAGTAGGCTGATGCCTTAATGGCCTTGGCTAATTGACGGACTGCTGTACGTTGATGTTAACACTGTCCCTTTAATTCTACTAGCTGGGGTGCATCTAACTGACATGTAAGTATTACTTATACAAAATGGACTTCCGTTGACTTGCTTACTTACTTGCTTACTTACTTAGCTTTACATGTAAATTTATTTGATTTTATTTATTGCCATTTTTGGTGTCAATAGTTTATAGCGATGCTTATTTAAGATATCTTTGATGCTTGTCATTGTCATAATTTCATTACATACCACATTTCTGTGCACATAAAAAGAGCATGCTCTTATAAAATGGATTATGTAGATGGAAAAAAATCAGCACCATATTTTAGAAAGTACACGACCCCCCTATAAGATTGTTGATTTTTCCGTTTTATATGAATTCCATGTTGTACGAGTCACTTAGATTTTACAAATATGTGTGCCGGGCTGTGAATGGCTCACATATTTGTAAAATCTAAGTGACTCGTACAACATGTAATTCAGATAAAACGGAAAAATCAACAATCTTATAGGGGGGTCGACTTGTATCTAAAAAGACTTGTTAATTTTATAAAACTTTATAGTATTGGAAGCATTTTTAATAATTGTTACCACAAATGTCACTGAATAGTTACTGTATCAATGTATTGGTATTTACATTTAATTTACAATGACACAGCAGTGCAATGCTTTTATAAACCAAAAAAAGCTGGTACACTTATGAGCATGCTCTTATATGTGAGATATGCTCTATTAGCAAAGCAGAACATTTGTTTAAGAATACAAAAACAAGTGATTTTTCATTCATGCTCTTATTTATGCAAAAATATGAAATGTACATTAGCTTTGTTTCAGTTATATTACTCTCTAATGTGATGGCTACATGGCTAAACAATATCAGGCTGTTACTCTGCAGAATCTGATATTAAAGTTAGATCAGATACTTAGAAATTTTCATGTATGTACAGTGGAACCCCGGTTAGCAAACGTCCTGGTTAACGACCAAATCGGTTAATGAACTATTATTTTGCAAAAATTTTGTCTCGGATAACGAACTTAACGGCTTTTTGTGTCAAATTTGTAAGCTTGCCGACTTTTAGGGAAAATCAGTTAATCGTGTGTCGATGATGGTCTAGGGTCCATTCGTACGTTGGTGATGGTGGAGGAGACAAAGATGACAAGTATTTTATACTGAAAATCGTTTATTAGAATGGGAAGATGCTTACATAATGAGGTAGTTGGAAATGGCTTATCTACAGTATTTTCTCTCGGCACTGAGGAGTGGCGTATCGCTGGTCCTACGATTGTGCAAGCTGATCAGTCGTAGCCCCAGAGCGGACGAGATGGGTTCGTTTGGTCACAGAAGCGATAGTAGGTGACAGAGTCGCAAGACTGGAGCGGTCCGCGAGACACAACACAAATTTTAGCGGGAACGACATCAGGCTTAATCCAGACGAAGACGACACATTAATCGCCTTAGAATTTTTAGGAAAACTGCGTTTTGACCTTGATATTCGGGGTTTTTATAGTATTTCTTCCTTGAATCTCACCTTACGATTTGTCCTGCGTCCCATTCCTCGCTTCCCGATTGTTTTCTTTTTTGTCTCCAGGTGAAAATCAGGTCACGAGAAAGGTTTGTTCCGAGGTGTTTATTTGACACCTGTTCGTCGACTCTAATCGGAGATTGTTGATAAACCTACAAGCCTTTCGCTCATAATTTAGCGTATTGTTTCTGCTATCTGTCATTTTAGAACTTTAACGATCGTATGTGATGTTTTTTATATCCGTCAAATCTTTCCTTTTTTCCGAAAATTTAACCTAGATCGACTGTTTATGAGTACATTTTCCTATATTTTCATTAAAGAAAACCCATTTTACAAATAAAATTACAAAAATACTGACGGCTAGAATGGATTAATTGTATTTGCATTAATTTCTATGAAAAAAATTGCTTCGGTTAACGAACAATTCGGTTAACGAACGGACTCGTGGAACGGATTACGTTCGTTAACCGGGGTTCCACTGTACTTAAGATGATGTATGATCCATACATCATCTTATCAATCAGCCACCTTGATTGTGGACCTTGACAGATCTGTGACAGATGTGAAAAAAGTTCCTTTGTGCTTGCAAGACAAACAGAATCAAGAAAAAACAACTTTGGTATTCATAACTTTATTTTTGATATGGAACAAAAGTTGTAGTTATCAGAGATTTTTTTTGGTTTTGGCATAACCAGTTTGTTTTATACTTAGCATTGAGTTTCAGGAAGTTCAGAACCCCTAAATGTGGCTGTTGATGTATTAAGCTGTTTCATGTCTAGAATTTGTCATGCCTCCACTGTTACTGCCAGTATTGTATGTTCAATTTGTGATAATTCTGCTTGATCATCCTTGAAATAGTTATAATGCTTAGAAATGCATGGCGAGATATGTAAAAATACGTTTACGAGGTATGATATTGTAGTAACAAAGTTTTCAAAAGCCAGTTTCAAATAAAACTGGTTAGAACAGAAATTGTAAAGCAAACAAGAGTATTATTTTTGTATAAAATGCCCTTTAACTAATCTGAACTAATTTTAATGGGTTTATAGAAGTAGCTTCTTGTTCCTAATTTTGTCATTTAATATTTATGCCTAATTGGGTTTTGTATCAGAGTCAGGACATATTATACTTATTATATAAACAAAGAAAACACTACGTAGATTCTTTAATTCATTTTATTTTTCCCAAATGCATTTCGAACCACTTCGCTCCTCATTTTTGGGGCTACAAAAGGAAGCTTTATCTTGTACAATATTTACAAGCTAAAATTACATGCAAACAATTTTAAGTATACAATAAATTGCATAAAATATATTACATTAATAATTATATAATTCTTTAACTTTACATAATGTTACCATAATAAGTTATTATTATGTAAATGTAAATTATGATAACATTATGTAATAACTTACATAATGTTATCATAATTTACATTTACAATATGGAAGTTTCAGTTCTACCCCCAAAAAACTTTTTAAGACTGTTAAGAAAAATAATACATGTAAGTTGTTATCATCAATGAATTAGAATATTTCAATAATTTAAAATGCATCTTACTTTTACTTTTTATTGCAATATTTCAATTTAACATTTATTTAGTCTTATTTTGGTGCAACACCATTTTAATGTATTCCTCGTTTGATGGAATTTTGAACTAGATAATTAAAATTATGTATCTTATACTAGATTTAAGGAATTTTTCTCCTACTATTTATATATAATTTTTCTATATCCCTAATAATTCCATTAATTGCACCTATTAAAAGTACTTTTCCCGAATTACTAAAATTTTAAATTAAACACTGTAAATGTAATTGACACTTCCATTAGATGACAGCTTTTAACAATTATTTTATAGGTTTCTATCTAACAATCCTCCCACTGATTTTCCCTATATATACCAAACCTTTCCACGATTTGTGTAGAATTTTTCTGATTCTCATTTATTACATTGTTAATATTAGTTTATATAACAAACATACATTTCCAGCACTTCTTTATAGTTCTAACAAATGCTTTTGGCTTGATTTACAGGCCTTCTTCAGGTTAGAAGCTGTTCCAAAATGGAACAATTCAAAGTTTCTTTCGGGTTATTTAAATTTCTTATGTTGTAACTTGATATTTATAAATTTAAATAGAATTATTCATTGAAATGTAAAAGAACCTATAATAAATGAGCTGTTGATTTTGAAAGTGGAGCAAGTCCATTTTATGTTATTGCCAGATATTTAATGGTTTGCATTTGAATGGTTTAAAAATATTTGCGAACAGTAATAGACTTTTTTATAATTGTTTGATCTTATTTCGTGTAAATTTAATATGCAATAATAGTTACCTGTGTTAGGAGAAAAAAGTCATGGTTTTGGTATGCGCCAATGGACTCGCCTCACTTTCAAAAGCAATGATTTGTTGAAAATGTTGATTGCCTTTGAATGGAATATAATTATAATAACAAAAAATTGAACATTTTATTTATTTACTAATTTTATTTCAACATTTCGTACTTCTTTCGTAAAACTACAATAAAATAAAAAATAAATTTAATTTTATAGGAAAAAGTGGAGAAAATAAGAAAAAATATTCAGTAATAAGTTGCATGCCTATAATTATATTTCTTAGTTTAGATGGTGCAGATTTTTAAAGCATTCCTGATGAATGAGTAGTACATAGGGTAATAAATCCATCATATCTTTATATTTTTCTTTAAAGTGGACTTTCCTCACTCAAAATCAACACACAATAAATATTGTTGACGGTATAAATTACCAGTAACAAATTTATACTGATATTAAAAAATATTTATTGTAAATTGATTAAAAGCATAAATTTTATGTTCATTTGTAATAAAAAGTAGCTTTAACTATTTTTCTCAAAATGGACTTGCTCCACCTTCAAAATCAATGGCTCAAATATTGAGCACGTGGAGGCGATTATTAAAAAATTATTGATTTAAGTACATTTAGATAAAAACGCTTGCTAAGCTTGCGATACTTTCTCTGTTGTTAATTAATGCAAAACTTTTGGCTTGCTGCTTTATAGATGTTGATGGTTTCACTTATTAATTTTTGTATATGAAATATTTTTCTTAATAATTTTGCATCTTTCCAATATGGGGACATCCCAGGCTCGCTTGGGCTAAGGCAGTGTTATAATTTCCTTTATGGATGTCATATTTATGTCCTGTTATTCTGGCCTCTATCGATCTGTTAGTTGAGCCTATATAGGTTAGGTGTCTGCAGAATCTAGAATCTTCTAGAGGTATGGTGTACACTCCAGGAGCTCTTTTCTCATTTATTTGGTATGTTTGTTATATATATAATTTATAAAAAATTCCTGCTTAAGATAGATTTAGTTTGTTAATATTAGTTACTATTTTGATATTTTCAAAATTGATGTTTAAATAAATTATCTTCCTTTTTTAAGATTTTAACTGTAATTTAATTTTGCATACTTGAGCATTTCAGTGCCTAGCTACTGCCAAACACACAATTTTTTTGGATTGATTTTATATGTTTGTTGGGCTGCAATTTTCAAAAATTGCATTCATTAATTCCCACTGGCATTCGTCTGCCCATCCTTCTTGAATTTCTAGAATGGAGTTAGATAGACGAAGGTCGAGACAAGATATGGGTAGGAGACCCCGATTAACTATACATGTCATTTCAATTCAAAAATTTTCTCCAGAATGGAATTAGATAGATGTCTCGCATGACTATTGTTAACAGGAAAAGTGTGATGTAGAGAAGCAAGACACTACTAAAATTGAGAGAATTATGACAATGTCACAATAAATAATTGCTCATTAATTCTAACTTTTAACTGCTTTTTTGTTTGATATAAATATCTGGGAGATGATGATGGCCACAATTAAATGAACAAACATTTGTATGCAAAACAATTGTAAAGAGCTAAATGAAATTATGCAAACAACAGATGCAGTTAATTTGTTTAATTGTAGCATAATTGTGCCCCAAATATCTATATCAATCAAACAAAAAGTTGACAGTTAAAATCTACCGGTAGAATTAATGAACAGAATCAATCCAAAAAATATCGTGTTCGGCAGTAGCTTTGTAATGCCCAAGTAGGTGAAATTAAATTAAATAAAAATACCATAATAAAAATAAAATAAAATTTTACCTGAAGATGATCTTTAAAAAAAGGCTGAAACATTTGTAATTAAACTGTTTTTCCTGCAAACAAAGACTTTTGTCTGAATTTTGAATATATTAGAGGTTGCTGTGCTTGCTTCAACACTAAACAAAATTCCATCAGTTGCTCTCCTAGCTGGACCCATGTATTTGGCTCTGTAATGTGGCAATCAAGCCAGCATTTGCATATATAGCACTGCAGGAACAAGCCACTTCAGTTCCAATGTTTGATATGGGTGGTGTGGTCTACCGTATCAACAGAACATAGCTGCTGATCACTTTCAAGTAGATGTTAGAAATACCTAAGATGAATTGTTTCCTGGGCTCTGGATTGGACATTGCAACCTGTACAAATGACTTGCTAGATCTTGATTTCTTCTTATGGAGACATTTGAAAGCACTCATTTACTGGGAACTATTGCAAACTGTGGATGAACTGTGAGAAAAAAATTTCATAAGCTTGCCATGAAATAATCCTCAAGATGGTGAAAGCTGCAGTTTCTTGAACTGTATGCAGCATTTGAGCATCTGTTCTAAAATGTAAATAAGACACTGTTTCAAATGGAAAAAAATAGAAAAGAGAGAGAAAATTCTTATTTTCTCAAAAGATGAGTATTAATCACTGAATTTTGCATACATTTAATCAATAATAAGCCTAATAATAATGAGTCAAATACTAACAAAAATTAATAATTTTAATCACAGTTTACAGCACTGAACAAAATATTGCAAGGAAATTTTGTAGAATTGTCATTACATTCATATTTTTTTTTCTTTTAGTGATTGTTAAATACTAATTGTCAGTTCTGACCTAAAAGGCTATTCCAAATCTGGTATGACAGGGCAGGACTTGTATTAATTTTACATGATTGTACATTGATGCTGTGCCTATGAGCTTCTCTGCACAATTTCCTATGTTTCTGTTGTGAAATGCTGTGTGATGAGGAAAATATTAAACTGAAAATTCATAGCAGTTCTTTGTAATTAGATGTTTTGATGAATACGAAATTTTGTGTAAAAACATTCTAAACACACAAATCTTTATGTGCAAATATGATGATCTATTTTTTAATCTTAAAATTTACCTGAATTTAAAACATTTGAAAGGAATAATTTTAAGATCAGACAAACATACTTGCATTACTATGGATTTTCATATTAAATGATGTAAATAGTGATAATTTAATATTAAACCTTTTTTTTTTTTAAATAATAATGGCAGTTTATATGAGGAAATTGAAGATTTTTATGAATACATTCGACCAACGCAACTGGAACATCGGATGCGTCTCGACGTTATTAGAAGAATAAAGAATGCAGTCTTGTCATTGTGGCCGAAAGCACAGGTATTATTCTTATTTTAATAAAATGTTTTCTATATAATTGTTGCAAACTGTTATAAATACAATAGACTCCTGCTTTGATTGCTTTATAACCCATTTTTAGGAACTATATAAACATACCATTCATACAATATACTTTATTATGCAAAGTACAGGGATAGAAAGGCATGATTACCACTGAGTAGGGTATTTAATCTTTATATATGCAGTCATGTTATATGCTGTAATTTAAGCTGTTGAAAAACAGTTTAAATATGAACTCATCTTCATTCTATAGAAAGTAACAATTGCTTATTGAATTTTTAGCATTGTGAAACTTTCATACCTATTAAAATTCAGACATTTGCAAGCTGCTTATGGCAATATATAAAAAACCTTAAGAGTACGCTATTAGTCGTGTTTGCAGAATGAGGCCAAAAAGAACTATCTGCTACTTGCACTGCAATAAAGAAACAGAAGACATTTAAAAATCTAAAATTACAGGTTATTCCACACACTTACAAACCAGGATTATTTTACAATGCACATTCAAACATCAAATTACATGTAAGTGCATAGGGTACTAATATTGAATGTCTTTGTGTGTGTGGTATGACTGAATATGCGAAAGAACCACTCATTCCTATTGCATACCAAAACTTTGATATTACTGAAAGTAGTTTAGAATAGGTTCTTTTGCTCTGGCACTCTTAGAATTCTGGTTGTTCCAAAAATTAAAAAAAATTTTTGGAAGATGAATGCTTCATAAATTAAAACAAAATAAACTATAAACTGTTTCTCATCTCATAAAGCCTAAACCAGAGGCAAAGAACTTTTTGTAATTGGAAGACTCGTCTCATTTCAGAGGGATCTCTTTAGGCTGTGTGTTGTACAGCAGGTCATGTAAGTATGTATATTTGGTATGCATGCACCAAAAATATACATAAACTAAATTCAGATACATGTCTTTATTCAAAAAAGAAAAGAAATCAAACTTTTATAACTCAAAATTTATGACAACAAAATTAATATTTTACCATTTTATCTAATTGTCAGTCTACGCTAGGAGTCGCAAGAGGTCACACATGGTCCAAAGGTAGAAGCACTTATGGCTTACACATTGCTTTCTGGCTAAGATTCTGCTTATGGAAGGAACAGTTAAACTTTTGTTACATTCATGTATTTTATGAGTAACTTTTGTGCAGTGTAGATCAAGAAAATAATCTCGGGATTAATTTTGGAGTAGAAAAATAAATACTTTAGCAAAAAATGTTGAAATATTTTGCATAGCTTTCTGTAAGACTATAATATACAATAAAGAATATAAAGTGGATAAAATTGATTATGTTCAAGAAAATCTCAAATGTTAATTTTTCAGATTAGAGTTTTTGGAAGTTTCCAGACTTCACTCTATCTTCCGACTAGGTAAGTGGAATTTTATACTAACACAACAATTTTTTTTTTGTTTTTATATTTTATTTTGGTTATTTAATCCGTTTTAAAGCTGAAAAGTAATTATGATTTTTAGTGATATTGATTTGGTGGTATTAGGGAACTGGAAAGCTCTGCCGCTCTGGACTCTGCGGGACCTTCTCGTAAATAATAACATTGCCACCCCTGCTGACGTAAAAGTTCTTGATAAAGCAAGTGTAAGTTTTATAGACTAATTTCTTCTTGAAATTCTTGCAAGAATAATAGTCACTATTTTAATATCACCACTTATTTTTGTCTGTCACTAGGTGCCGATTGTAAAAATGACAGATACAAAAACTGAAGTCAAAGTGGACATCAGCTTTAATATGAAAAATGGAATGGAGAGTGCAATGTTCATTAATGTGAGTGTCTTAATTTATATATTAACTAGATGCTAAATCTTATAAAATGTTTGAGAATTTCGTTAAAACAAAGTCTATCAAAGACATTTTTGAGATTGAAACTCATCTTCAGATTGTTGTTGAGAAATCCAAAGTTGAGATCGTATTGAAAATGTCAACAGACTTCATTGTTAAAGTTATAATTCAGTTATAAAGCATAAGACTAGTGAAACCACATGTCTTTTTTTCTTCCGGTATCCATATTAAATCAGAGACCAAGACTTTTTTAAAAATGCAGCTATTGTATTCTTTTTCTTTATAAGCAATGCATTTTGGATTAAATTTTATTAATCCTTCTTTGGGCTTCCTACATAAGTCATTTAACTTGTTTTACCATAGGTAAAACAAGTTAAATGACTAGTATATTGGTTGCATGAGGAAACCCTTTCAGGTGAATGCTGAGTTGTGGCTTGAAACTTTGTTACTGCTTAATTTGAGTTGGGAAAGACAATCCCACAATCTTCTGACTTTGCAATTGTTTGTATGATTTGCTGGGACAGGTCAAGAAGTAATTGAATATCATGAAAATTAGGGTTATTTTCATCAATAAAATGTTGAAGACAAAGTGCGAAGTTTGTAATGGAAACATTTAAAAAAAGCCACAATTTTCAACTGAGCAGTTGGCCGTTTATGTATTAAAAGCAAGATCTGGCTTATTATCAAGAATATCAGATGGGTTACTCATGTTATAACCAGACCTTTTCCATGCATATCAATTCATATTCCTAAACCATGGTGAACAAAATTGATCGTAAGCACACAAACACATTTACACTCATCATGCTAATGCATTTGTTTGCTTATAGCCAATGTTATTCACCATGGTTTAATGTATCTTTATTAAAACACAACAATGGTGAGCTACTACTCTCCAGTTTGATCATCCTTACAAACCACTCCACTAGGTTCTAGTAAGTTGTACAAACAATTGTGAAGATGGTAGCTTACAAAATTGTCTTCCCAAGCTTGAGTTAGGTAAGGACAAAGTTTGAAGCCACAAATTGATATTTACCTGAAAGGGTTTCCCTGTTAGTTATTTCTTATAAACTAACAATAAATAATATAAAATTTTGAAGAATAGATGATATTTTGAGCACCCATTGTTCAAAATAAGGCAACATTAATTAATAGTTATACACAGTTGTATGCATTGTTATAGCTAATTATTACTAGGACATTGCAACATAATTGAAGTGGAGCCAGAAACAAAGAAGTGATCCTTGTTCTGGGAGGAGTCCATCAGGAGCACGAACAGTTGGAAGCGCTGCCATTGGTGTTACCTAGGCATACTTTGACCAATTGTTTTGTTTGTTTTATGTGACTGTTTCCCATTAGGTGCACACAATACTGTTTTTTTTTTCATATTTTTGGTCCTCTAAATTCTGTTAGGCATGCTCAATCATGTCAGGACATTGTCACTTTAACTCTACTGTATGCCATAAAATACCTTAATGGAGTAATGAGGAGAAAATTTTTTGTATTTTCATTATGTGTTGTCAATTTTTGTTGAAATTAATATTTTTTACTCAGGAAAAGAAAAAAGAATATCCTAATTTAGCAAAATTAGTTATGGTACTCAAACAGTTCCTCGTTTTGAGAGATTTAAATGAAGTTTACACGGGAGGTATCAGTTCTTACAGCCTTACCTTATTAATTATCAGTTTCTTTCAGGTAAGTTTAATGTTATTTAATGAAGAAGTGTAATTTTATTATTTAATTGTGTCGTTCTATTATGCAGTTGTATCCCAGAGCGGATGTCTCCTTACCAAATGTAAATCTTGGAGTGCTGCTTCTGGAATTTTTTGAATTCTATGGCAGACATTTTAATTACAGCAAGACTGCCATTTCAGTTAAGAATGGAGGATTTTATTTTCCCAAAGAGCGATACAAATTGCACAAGCTTGATTTCGTGCCTTCCATCTTGTGCATTGAAGATCCACTGCTACCGGGTAAGCGATCCGTTTATCATTAATCTTGAATAGGGATATCGGTGTTCTGTCATTGAGGCATTTGATTCTAAACATTTTTAAAATCGATTCTAGGAAATGACATTGGAAGGAATTCTTATGGAATGCTGAGTGTGAAAAGAGCTTTCGAATACGCTTTTATTCTACTTTCAGATTTAGTCCACCCAAAGAAACCAAAAAATCTTGGTGGTCAGAGGTAAAAAAGTTATATGTTTTAAATATTGGTGTGATATTTTATATTGTGATGTACAATACTTCTACTAGTACTTCATCAAATTAGTATATTGGGTATGCTAGTGAGTTGTTGCAGTAAATCTATTGAATACCTACAGATGCAAAGTGTTTATATGGGTTTAAACATTGTAAGTGGGACTGTAGAATCGATACAAAAAATGTTCAGACTCTTTTATAAAAATTTTATCATTGCAAGAATCATCAGACTACTTTTTTAGACTTTTAATGTATATTTAAGTGTAAGTTTATCATTTCTATTGAGAGTGGAGTCGGAGTCATTAAATGTCCCCATTCTCCAATTCTTAATCCACTATCTTTAGAAATGCTTGTTTGAAAAGATGAAAACAATGTTACTGTAGATCTGGTGAATTACAGTAGACTAGTTAAAGTTATCAAGAATTCTCAAACATATCAGCTGGACCATTGAAAATGTGAAATTATTTTTTTTGCTTCTCCGTATGCATGGGTGCAGAATAGAATATGTCCTTGTGCACGAACAAGGTTCAGAGGAAATTAAAGTGGTTCTGGGAAAATTTGCAGTGGAAAAATAATATGGTAATAGCTGCAAAAATGTTATGCAAAAAACATTACAATAAAATGGAGTGGCATCTCAGTTAAGCTTATAGATGTTAATTGGGGAAAATTTTTTCAAATGCAGGGGATACCTGTGGGTTTAGGAGTGAAATAAGAATGTCATTTACTTCATTTATTGGTTTAGTCACTCGTTACATTGCTGCCTACTTATGCTCGCAGTAGGGACGAGTTAGTTTCGTTTACTGAACCACAAGTTTGATTTTTACGGAAAACCAAAATGGAGCTTTAAAAAGAATCAAAAGTCGTTTTTATTTCAAAATTCTTTTAGACAGTATTTAATGGGTGAAATTTCAAAACAAAATATTTGCTTGTTCTTTGCAAGGGAAAGTTTTATATTTATAAACTATTTAAAATTTAATTTTTTCTGAATTATTGTGATGATAAAAGTTGAATTTAGCTATTTAATCATTTTATAAAATTATTTTTTATTTTATAATTAATTTTCAAACATAAAAATAAAGCTTGTGTTTTCAAAAAATACAAAAAGTAGTAATGAAAATGTCAATAAAAAATGCTGAGGAAAAAGTGCACGACTTATTACCTTTTGCAAAAAGTTGCACAACTTGTTAGTCATAAACAAATTGTGCATTTTTGGACGTTAAAAAGTCCGTCGACATCATTTTCACTTCCAGTAATCAATGTATTACTTTGAGTTTATAATTGTATATGCTATTCAATTATGATGACATGTACCTAAATTGTTTTTTTAGTTTATTAGTTTAGTGTTGCATGGCAAATTATACACTAGGTCTATTTAATTAATTGTATGATTTGAGATATCTAAGAATGTAGAAATAATATTAATTTGTGTGTTATTGTGCAATAATTGTTGGGGAAATTTAGAGTCCAAAAAAATCTGCACTCTTACTGGCATGGTCTGCATTACTGATGACGTGCCAGATTGAGTGTAGAATCATGACAGGATGGTCGGCTGTTTGTTCTGGGAAATGGCAATTCCTTGCTTAACATCGTCAACAGGTTCTTGGAAACTGCAACTTTAAGCAAAAATGATGTGTTATGAAACCACTTTCACTATAGAGTAAGTAATATAAACAAGATATAATTTGGTCAATACCAGGTTGTTCAATAAGTTTTGTCGTTCGATAAGAGGTGGCGCTATTAGGAGTGTCACTTTATTACTCTATAAATAGTACTATTATTTCATAAACACGTGTGAAGTTTCAAGTAGATCCGTAAACTCATTGTATATTTGCAGCTGTTCAAAGTCGACGTGTCATTGTATTTTTTTACAATGGAAAAAATTGAATATCGTGCAGTGATAAAATTCTTATTTTTGGAAGGTGTAGCACCAAAACAAATTCATGAACGATTGTTAAAAGTGTATAAGGACTCTTCACCTTCAATCAGAACAGTAGAAAGATGGGTTGCTGAATTTAAACGTGGTCGTACGAGTCTTGAAGACGATCCACGTGAAGGGCATCCAAAAAGTGCATCAACACCGGAAATCATAGCAAAAATACAGCATATGGTTTTGGAAGATCGTCGATTAACTGAGAGAGATTTAGTAGAAGCCCTAGGGATTTCGTTAGGCGGCGTGAGCAATATTTTGGCTGAAGTTTTGGGTTACAGAAAGCTGTGTGCATAATGGGTGCCGCATTCGCTAACTATGGAACAAAAACACATTCGAATGCAACTTTCTCAACAACATTTGGAGCGTTTTAGAAAGGATAAAAAGGATTTTGTGCGTCGTTTCATCACTATGGATGAGACATGGGTCTACCACCATGATCCTGAATCAAAACAAGAGGCTAAAGAGTGGTGTGAACCCGGTACTTCGGCTCCGAAGCGTGTTAGGGTCCAGAAATCGGCCAAGAAGGTGTTAGCATCAGTTTTTTGGGATGCAAAAGGAATTTTGTTTGTGGATTACCTCCAAACTGGTAAAACAATAAACTCAGATTATTATTGTAACCTTTTGGACCAGCTAGATGTAAAAATTCGTGAGAAAAGACCTGGTTTAAAAAAGAAAAAAATCACTTTTCATCAAGACAACGCCCCCTCTCACACAGCTCAAAAAACCATTGTGAAAATCAGTAAATTAAAATACGAATTGTTGCAACATCTTCCCTATTCACCAGATTTAACTCCCTCTGACTTCTGGCTGTTGTCACATCTAAAAAAATTCATGCGTGGGAAACGATTTTCATCGAACGAAAAGGTTATAGCAGCCGTGGAAGCATATTTCGACAGTCTTCCGGATTC